CCTTTGTGGGTAATCTGACCTTTCTCTCTGGCTGCCCTTAGTATCCTCTCCTTCGTTTCAACCCTGGTTAATCTAACGATTATGTGCCTTGGGGTTGCTCTTCTTGAGGAATATCTTTGTGGTGTTCTCTGTATTACCTGGGGTTGAGTGTTGACCTGCTTTGCTAGTTTAGGAAAATTTTCCTGAATAATATCCTGAAGGGTATTTTCCAGCTTGGATTCATTCTCTCCTTGGCATTCAGGTACACCTATCAAAGGTAAATTTGGTCTTTTCACATAGTCCCACATTTCTTGGAGACTTTGCTCATTCCTTTTTATCCTTTTTTCTCTAATCTTTTCTTCACGTTTTATTTCATTAAGTTGGACTTTGACCTCTCTTCTGCTTGAACAATTCGAGTGTTTAAACCTGTGCATACTTCTCGGAGTTCCTGTATTGTATTCTTCAGTTCCATTAATTCACTCATACTCCTCTCTAAGTTGTCTACTCTCAATAGGATTTCATCAAACCTTTTTTCAAAGTTCCTAGTTTCTTTACGTTGGGCTACAACATGTTCTTTTAACTCACCGAAGTTTGTTATTATCCATTCCTTGAAGAGTGATTCTGTCATCAGGAGGCGCTCGATCTCCATCAAGCCTTGTTCCATTGTTGATGTGGAACTGTGATCATCTTTAGAGGGAGAGGCGTTCTGACTTTGAGTATTCTCAGCTTTTTTACGCTGGTTTCTTCCCGTCATTGTAAATTTATCCTCCTGTCGTCTTTGAAATTACCAACTTTCAGATTAGGTCTCTTGAGTGGACGTCCAGGTTGTTAGTTCCCAGGGCCAGAGCAGCGGCGTTAAAACTGATGGTGCTTTTCTGCCCAGGATTCTCCTGTCGGGCTTCCTTCTTGTTTCCGTAGTAGGCGACTCTGCCTTCCCGGGGCTCCAAACCTCGGTCAGAAGGGAGAGCGGTCCCGTTTACTCTGCGCCGAGCGCTGTGGCACCGAGGTGCCGGCGGAACCGCTGCGCCGACCACGAGAGTCGCGCTGGCGACCCATGTGTTTCCACCACTGGGGGATCTTCTGCTCCGTGAGCAACCAGACTTTGTCTGAAAGTGTGGCGTCCTCTAGTTCTCCGCGCCTTCCCTGAGAGCTGCAATCCCAGGATGTTAGCGATCGGCCATCTTGGATCGTTCTCCACTTGTGAATTTTTTAAGATTCCTTCTGTTATTAGTATAGTTTCATATCGTTATGGTCTGAAAAAATACTAGATTTGACTTTGTAAGCTTGTTAAGACTAGTTTTGTGGCCTAACATATACTCTATTCTGGAGAATGTTCCATGTACACTAGAGAAAAATGCCTATTCTGCTGCTGTTGGGTGGAAAATTCTGTGTATATCTGTTAGGTTAATTTGGTCAAAAATGCAATTCAAGTCCAGTATTTCCTTCTTAAATTTCTGTTCAGTTGATCTATCTGTTGTTGAAAGTGGGATATTGAAGTCTCCTACTATTATTGTATAGCTGTCTATTTGTCCTTTTATGTTCATTAACATTTGCTTTATGTATTTAGGTGTTCCAATGTTAGGTTCACATATATTTGACTCGTTGTGTCCTCTTAATGGATTGACCCCTTTATCATTAAATAATGACCTTGTTTGTCTCTTGTGACAGGTGTTGACTCAAAGTCCATTTTATTAGACATAAGTATAGCAACCTCTGCTTTTTTTTTTTTTTTTTTGAGACAGGGTCTCATTCTGCTGTCCAGGCTGGAGTGTAGTGGCACAAACATTGCTCACCGCAGCCTGACCTCCTGGGCTCAAGTAATCCTTCTGCCTCAGCCTTCTAAATAGCTGGGACTACAGGTGCATATCACCACACTTGGCTAATTTTTAAATTTGTGTGTAGCAATGAGGTCTCCCTACATTGCCCAGGCTGGACTCCAACTCCTGGGCTCAAGTGATCCTCCCACCCTTGGCCTTCCAAAATGCTGGAATTGCAGGTGTGAGCCACCATGCCTGGCCTCCCTGCTCTCTTTTGGTTACAATTTGCATAGAATATCTTTTTTTATCTCTTTATTTTCAGCCTGTGTGTATCCTTAAAGCTTAATTAGATCTCCTGTACATATCATATGGTTGGATCTTGTTTTAAAAATCTGTTTAGCAACTCTATGTCTTTTGATTGGAGAATTTAATCCAATTACATTCGAGATTATTATTAAGGGAAGGACTTACTATTTTTACTTTGTTATTTTATACCTGGTTGTTTTGTAGCACCTTTGTTTATTTCTTCCTCTCTCATTTTCCTTTGCAATTTGATAATTCTCTGTAGTACGAAGCTTTACTTTATTTCTCTTTATTGTTTGCATAACTGCTATGGTAATCATGAGGCTTATGTAAAACATCTTATAGTCAACTGTTTTTAGCTGATAACATCTGTTGCATGCAAAAATTCTAGATTTTTCTCCTCTACATACTGTGGGTTTTGTTTGTTTCTTTCTTTTTTTAAAGAGAGGATGTCTTGCCACATTGTCTAGACTGACCTTGAACTTCCAGGCTCAAGTGATCCTCCTACCACAGCCTCCTGAGTAGCTGAGTTTACAGGCACGCACCACGCCCAGCTACACAATTTATGTTTTTGATGTCACAATTTATACCTTTTTAAATTGTATATCATTATTATTATTAATTTATTTTTGAGATGGAGTACTCTATTGCCCAGGCTGGAGTACAGTGGCGCCATCTCAGCTCACTGCAACCTCTGCCTCCCAGGTTCAAGCGATTACCTTGCCTCAGCCTCCTGAGTAGCTGAGACTACAGGTGCCCACCACCACACCTGGCTAATTTTTGTATTTTTAGTAGAGATGGGGTTTCACCATATTGGCCAGGCTGATTTCAAACTCCTGATCTTGTGATTCACCTACCTCCGCCTCCCAAATGCTGGGATCATGGGCATGAGCCACCACACCTGGCCCTTATATTGTATATTATTTAACAATTTATTGTAGCTTTTGTTATTTATTTATTTATTTTTACCTATTTGACTTTTGACCTTTATACTAGAGATATGTATAATTTACATATCACTAGTACAGTACTAAAATATTCTGGCTTTATCTATATATTTATCTCTACTAGTGAGTTTTATACTTTCATTTATATTTATAATTATTATCATCATTTTGTTTATGCTAGAACTCCATGGCTGGGCATGGTGGCTCATACCTAAAATCTTAACACTTTGGGAGGCCAAGACAGGAGGATCACTGGAGCCCAGAAGTTTGAGACCAGCCTAAGTAAAATGGGAAGACTCCATCTCTACAATAAATAAATAAAAATTAGCTGGGCACAATGGTGCATGCCTATAGTTCCATCTACTTGGGAGGAATTCAAGGTGGCAGTGAGCCATGATTGTGCCACTGAATTCCAGCAACAAAGCAAGATCCTTTCAAAGGAAGGAAGGAAGGAAGGAAGGAAGGAAGGAAGGAAGGAAGGAAGGAAGGAGGGAGGGAGGGAGGGAGGGAGGGAGGGAGGGAGGGAGGGAAGGAACGAGAGAAAGAGAGAGAAAGAAAGAGAGAGAGAGAAAGAAAAGAGAAAAAGAAAGAAAGAAAGAAAGAAAGAGAAAGAAAGAAAGGAAGGAAGGAAGGAAGGAAGGAAGGAAGGAAGGAAGGAAGGAAGGAAGGAAAGAAGGAAGGAAGGAAAGAAGGAAGGAAGGAAGGAAGGGCCTGTTAGGCATTTCTTATAGGGCAGGCCTAGTAGTGATGAATTTCTTCAGCTTTTGCTTCTTTGGGAAAAACTTTATTTCTCTTCATTTCTGAAGGTCAGCTTTGCTGGGTATAGTATTCTTAGCCAACTTTTTTTTTGTTTTCCTTTCAGCACTTTGAATATATGATCTTATTCTTTCCTGACCTATAAGGCTTCTCCTGAGAAATCCATTGGTAGTCTAATGGAGATTACCTTATATGTGACTTGACACTTGTCTCTTGCTGCTTTTAAATTTCTTTTTCTTTAAATTTTGACAGTTTGATTGTCATGGGCCTTGGTAAGGATGTCTTTGGGTTGTATTTATTGGGAGATCTCTCAGTTTTATGAATCTGTCTCTCCATATCTCTCAAAACTTGAATTTTTTAAAGCAATAATTTCACTAAATAAGCTTTATTTTTTATTATCTCTTCTCCTTCTTTAACTCCTGTAATGTGAATTTTTGTTCACTTAATGGTGTTCCATAAGTTCCATAGGCTGTCTTCACTCTTCTTTGTGAAGCACTGTAATGAACTCATGCTGTTACCTTGGTATTTTTAAACTCTTAACAGTAAATGGAGACAGCATGACATTTAACATATACATTTTAATGTGAGAATGTCATAAAATTCCATAGTTTGGAGTCAGTTACTCAAGTATTATATTCCTTTGTGGTGTTATGTTTCCTTGCTTCTTCACATTTCTTGTGTCCCTGTGTTGATGTCTGCGGATCTGGTGGTACAGTCACTTCTTCTAAACATTACAGAGTGGCTTTTGTACAGGGGATTTTCACCAACACATGGGCCTGAGGTTGGGCAGGGTGCAGTAGTTTTGGTTTCATGAGGGTGCAATGCTGTAGTTTCCACACAGCTTCGACAGTTATGCTCAATGTCAGTGATGACTGTGGGTGCCTCAGTGGTCTAGGCTGCAGGAGTTTGTGGCAGTGATGATAGCTATGTAGATTATTAGGACAAGTGTTTTAGGGATCCTTCTGTTCTTGTCTTCTCCACAGTGGGGAATCTTAGCTGAGGGGATATCTCTTGGTGTTGAGTCTGACATGACCCACAGGCAGCCACAGGATCACTAGGATCCAGGGCAGAGGTGTTTTGAGCAGCTGTGAAGACAGGTTCGTGGGCTCAAGGTTTTGTCAAACTACTGTAACATGTGAATCTTGAGGCATGCACTTACTTCTCACTGCCTGAGTAGATGCAGTTTCTCTGTTAACCTGGGTCTGTTGCTCTGAGGCACATCCTGGAAACTTGGCTAGGATGTAGCTGTGGTTCTGACCTGAGGGGGAGGGCACAGAACTGTCATGGCTCTGGGAAATAAGGGGTACTCTGGAGGCTCAGGCCCTGGAAAGAAGGGCACAGTTGCAATTCAAAAATCAGAAGAATTATGGTAAAATATTCTTTTAAATATTATTCTATATCTTGCTTTTTTTAACTCAACTTATGATTTAGAATTTTGGCTGTATTGATACCTACAGATTTAGTTTATTCACTTTACTGCCATTGGGTATTATTAGATGACTCAACACTTTTCATTCATTCATTACTCTACAGATAGAAATTTCTATTATTTCCAGGTTTTCCAGATGATAAACAGCATTGTAGTGAACAGATTTGTAGAGATGTTCTTATGTACAATCTTGTGCATCCCTAGATCAGTGGTCTCTGTATTTCTGAGGATAGCTTAAAACTTTTAAAGAAATGTATAGGCCTAAATGGTTTTGTTTGTTTGCTTTTAAGAATGAATTTCTAGATACTCAACCTCCTCATTTCTCTTAACTGTAGCCCTGAGTATAGTATTATGCTTGTGATACTATGTTGGTTATGCTTTTCCATCTTCTTTCACAATTGCCTTTCTCCCACTTGACTACAGAAAGGCATAGGTCTCATCCATACCAAACCTCATTTGATATTTCATACATAAAAGTTAACATATATGCTTTTTTATGTTGTTTTTATTTTTCTATTTAAGCTGTTAACCCATCTAAAGTTTATTTTTGTATTTAGCCTGAAATGACAATATAACTATTGATCCATTAATGTTGATATAAAAGTCTAAGTAATTTAACTGGATAATCTATACTTTTTGGTCATATGAAAGTCTCTTTGATCATGTGAGAAGTATAAAATTAGAGCAAATGATACGGTTTGAATCTGTGCCCCCATCCAAATTTTATTTCAAATTGTAATCCCCATTGTTGGAGGTGGGGCTTGGCAGGAGGTGACTGGATCATGGGGGTGCATCTCTCATAAATGGCTTAGCACAATTCTTTTGATGCTGTCCTCACAATAGTGAGTTTTCATGAAATCTGGTTGTTTGGACGTGTGTAGCACCTCCCCTTCTTGCTCTCTGTCTTGCCCCTGCTCCTATCATGTAAGGGGTTTCACTCCCACTTTGCCTTCTGCCATGACTGTAAGTTTCCTGAGGCCTCCTCAGAAACTAAGCAGATGCAAGCAAGCATCATGCTTCCTGTACAACCTACAGAACCATGAGCCAATTAAACCTCTTTTCCTTATAAATTTCCAGTCTCAGGCATTTCTTTATAGCAAAAGGGACCCGTATAGGAAGTATTACACTACTATCTTCCCAGAATCCCCTGTAGTTGTAGAGCATATGTGACATAGTTCTGGCCACTGAGATGTAAGTACAAGTCTGCGAAGAATTAATAGGAATATTTTTGCTCTCTTGAGGTAGACACAATCTCTTCTTCCTTCCTTTTCCTTCTTCTCCCTGGATTTGAGATGCCAGAGGTGAAGCAGCCATCTTTCTAGCTCTCCCAGTAAATCCCTGTTTCTCAGGGAAAGCTGACTTCTTGGTGGTTTAAGGACAATTCCATCTTCATTGCCAATGGATGGTTTAGTTATGGATATGATCCAACTCTACACACTTTGAGTTTACTGTCAGCTTCTGAGAGTTATTCTCAGCTCTTAAAAGAGACACACGGAGCCCAAGCATGGTGGCACACATCTGTAGTCCCAGCTACTCAGGAGGCTGAGGCAGGATGATCCATTTGAGCCCAGGAGGATGAGACTGCAGTGATCTATGACTGCACTCCAGCCTGGGTGACAGCGTGAAACTCTGTCTCTGAAAAATACATATAAATAATGATACAAATAAAATAAAGAGATAATGAAAAGCCAGTCTTCCTCCCCCTTCTCTTGGGTGTTTTCCTTATGCAACATGCAAGTTTTACAGTTTAGTGTGTTCAAGTTTATCTATTGTCTTTCCTTAATGTTAAAGTTCTGTTTTACATTTTTAGATCCTTAATACATCTGAGATATATTTTGGCATATGGTATCAACTAGGGATTTGATTTTTTCTTCCATATAAAGAACTGATTGTCCAACATTCTTTGTTCAACACTATATTGAACTGGACAATATAGTGAGACCCTGTCTAAAAAACATTTTTTTAAATTAGCTAGGTGTGGTAGTGAGTGTCTGTAGTCCCAACTACTTGGGAAGTCAAGGTGGGAGGATTGTTTGAGCCTGGTTTGAGGCTGCAGTGAGCCATAATTGTGCCACAGCACTCCAGCCAGGGTGACAGTGAAACTGTCTCACAATAGTAACTATAAAAATTAATAATAAATATTTAATAGTCTTTTTTTTTTCATTGAATCATGGTCTCCCTCTGTCACTCAGGCTAGAGTATAGTAGCATGATCATGGCTTACTGCTACCTCGAGTTCCTGGGCTTAAGGAATCCTCCTGCCTCAGCCTCCTGAGTAGCTGATATTATAGGCACATGCCACCAACATCTGGCTAATTAAAAAAAAATTTTTTTTTTGTAGCGATGAGGTCTCCCTATATTGCCCAGGTTAGTCTCAAACTCCTGGGCTTAAGCGATCCTCCCACATCAGCCTCCCAATGTGCTGGGATGACAGGCATGAACTACCATGTCTAGCTAATACTTAGTATTTTCTATGTGTATCACGTATGAACTCATTTAATCCTTATGACAATTCCATAAGTACAGGTTCAGAATCTGTTATTTACAATTCTGAAATTGAAAAAGGTCTGAAAACCACACTTTTAAAAACTCACCTATAATCCCAGCTATTCATGAGGCTGAGATGGGAAGATTGCTTGAGCCCAGGAGTTCAAGACCAGCCTGGGCAACATAGCAAGATGCCATCTCAAAGAATATATATTTGGCAGCAAATCCTTGCCTGAACTGGTATATGCCTATCTATAGTCTTTTACTTATTCCTCTTAGTATGATTAGTCATACATTTTGCTGCAGCTCTATAAATATATTTGATTATAGAGTACTGCCCTAGAAGCTGTTGGGGTGTTGCATAATACAAGGTATATTCATTGGATTACTTTTCAAAACCTAAGGAATTCTTAACTCAGAAAACCAGCTGGTAGGGGTGATGAACTGGTACAGACAAGGGTAGTGAACTTGTAATATTATTATCCTCATTTCACAGCTGAAGAAATTGAGACTAGAAGTCATCATTTACTCAAGGTTACATTGTTAACAAAAACAATAAGCAATGTAGTTAATATTTTTGAAGGCTTCTTGTGGAAGTCACTTAAATGTTTTATGTGTATTAATTTAATCATCACCACAACCCTAGGAGTACTATTATTATCCTAATTTCCCAGATGAAGCTTAGAGAGACTCTAAAATTCCCCTGGAGATGCAGCAATTAAGTGTGGTGAGAAAGGATCTAAGAACAAGTCAGTCCAATATCAATATATTTTATTATTATACTATCCTTTACAAATCTACAGCATCATCCTTTAGACTATATATCCAATTATCTGATATTAACAAGATTAAAAATATATAATTCAGATCATTTTACTCACTTGCTTAAAACTCTGTGACTTTCTACTACATATAAAGTTCAAATTCCTTACGATGACCCCTTTCTACCTCTCCCATCTCATTTCTCAAGAGTAGACTTCTCTTAGGCCTTTGCACTGGGTATGTCCTCTTCCTGGAAGGCTCCCAGATCATTACACATTTAGCTACTTCTTGTCATTTAGGGTTCAGATTAAGCTAATCCTGTTTTTCCCGGATTTATCCAGTAAGAGTAGGTCTTTAATCACACTATCAATCCCATCATTCTCTTTACCTAACACATAACTATATCTTCAATGTTTATCTGTTTATTTTCTTTTTCCTTTCATTTGAATGTGAATTCAACCAGAGTGGGCACCTTGTCTGTTCTGGTTTCTTCAGAAGTTCCAGTCTCTCATATGGCAGGTGCTTAATTTCGGCTAAATAAATGAATGTTGTACACAATCAGTAAGAAGTATCTGCTAGTTACTGAATGGTGGGAGATAAACTGAGGAGGCAGGTAGGTGACTTAAGTGAAAATGTAAAGAGACCTAGAATGTCAACTTGATTTGATTTTAATAGTATAAATACCACCAAGCAGAGTTTCTGATACAGAGAGATGGCAAACATTTGCTGAATGACTGGACAACAAATATTATTACTAGCTTGGATCTTGAGGCAAATTACTTAACCTTTCTGAGCTCAGTTTCCTTGTCTGCGACGATTAAAACTAACTTTACAGGGTTTCCCTACGAATTATACGTGATAATACATGTCATGTGCCCAGCACACTGCAGGTACCTGTTAGTTTCTTTCTCTTTACATACATACATACTTTTAAGGTCTACAAAGTTATTGTAAGCTCTTCTAGATTCATGACCTCATTTTATTCACACAATCTTCTGCAATACTGCTCATTAGCCTCATTTTACAGACGAAAAACAGACTCAAGGATTGAGACACAGCCTCTACAGGTAATGAGAAGCAATGGACATGCTTTATAAGCATAGGAGCAACATGATAAAGCAGTGAGTTTTTTTTTTTTTTCTAAGATTAATCTGTTGGTGGCCTATAAAAAGGACTAAATTGAAAATTAGAGAAATATTATTTTGACTACTAGCATAAAAATCAAGTTTAAGGGCCCGGCACAGTGGCTCGCACTTGTAATCCTAGCACTTTGGGAGGCAGAGGCGGGCGGATCACTTGAGGCCAGGGGCGGGAGACCAGCCTAGCCAACATGGCGACACCCCACCTCTACTAAAAAAATACAAAAAATTGGCAGGGTGTGGTGGCACGTGCCTGTAATCCCAGTTACTTCAGAGGTTGAGGCACATATAGAATTGCTTGAACCCCGGAAGCGGAGGTTGCAGTGAGCCGAGATCATGCTGCTGCACTCCAGCCTGGGCAACAGAGCAAAACTCTATTTCAAAGAAAAAAAAAAAACAAGTTTAAGATGATAAGGACCTGCACTAGGTAGCAGAAGTGTTTAAAAGCCTAATGAACTTAAAACTATTGAAAAGCCAGATAAGCCCCCAAAAAAGAACAAAAATTTTAAAACGTGAGTTTTCAAATCTGGCTAAGAAAATAATACTATGAACAACATAAACAATTGAGAAATCCAACTTGGGCAAATCGTTGGTCAGAAGAGCTTCTCTCCAGTACCTATGCAGAACTTCTGGCAAATAATGGCAAACATCTAAGCCATTTCCTCAGCGTCATAGCAGATTTTTCTTTCGTTCACTCCGCCCACTGGCTTCACCACCTGAACAAGAGCATCTTAATTAAGGGCCTTCTGATCTTGCTTCCCTAGAAGCAGTTTGGTGGGAAGGAGACTGGTTGGTATGGAATTAGAAATCAAGGTTTTAAAGTCCCAGGACTTTGGCTAAATCGGCTTTTTCCTTCTCTGTCAAACAAAGGGACCTTTAGTTCACCTACTTCCCTACTTTTAAGACTGGAGATCCTCTCCATATCAGTACAAACCGCTTTTACTTAAGCGCGTGTCACCAAACTAAAGGCGCTCACGCAGAGCGGAGCCCCTGGCGGTGAGCTTACGTCACGTCCGGCGCGCTGACGCTCAGTTCTGCGTGCCGACGCCTGCGTCAGCAAAGAGCGGAGCTTGGGGTACCCGGTTTGAAGTCGTGCGGGTCGGAGGACTGCCGCATCCGCTACGGTGTTGGACCCCTGCTCCCTGGCTGCTGCGGGTACGAGCTCGGGTAGGCGGCAGGGCAGATGCCCGAGGGCCTGAGCTGGAACTCCCCGCGCCGCAGCGGCCGCTCCCTTGTGCTTCGCGGCCTGGACCTTCACCGTTTCGCTCACTGGAAACTAGCGCCTCAGCTGCGCGGCGCGTAGGTCGCACGGAGCTCCGAACCGCCGGCGCCCGGCTATGGCGGTCTCCAGGTGGGTCTTGCTCCTAACGAGCGAACGTGAAGGCCGCTCAGGCAAGGCACGGTCTCCTCTCAGCGCCCTCAGTCGTAGAGAGGAGCGGCTCTCATTGTCACTGGGCTCCGGCGCTTTCTTCAGTAGACTTCGGAGTTCGCCCCGTGGTCGGAGGGGGTTTGGGGCTCGGGTTACCCCTGGGTAAATTGGCTCAAGAATGCCTTTTTTCTTGTTAAATAGACCCCTTGGCACGTTAGAGCTGGTTTTTCTCTCCTCACCATGTTTCTGTTCTCTGGTTTCTCTTCCCTCTTTCGGTTCTAGGAGAGTAAGTCTCTTATCTTTCTCTGTATTCTAAGGCTGGTCCCTAACCTCCATTTCATGGGAAAACTTGGTAGTTACTGTCGATTGAGGGGAAACCTGAATTACTGTTATCTAAGAGACCGTCTAATTATGTTAACAATTTTAATTTACGTTTTAGGGGCATGTTCTTTCCTGAGCTATTTTTTAAAATTAAGTATAATTTCTCCTTTTGTTTGGCAGTAAATATTCCAACGTCAGCGTTGTAACCTTAAGCAAATTATCGTATTAGCATCATCTTCCTTAGCTAAGGGGTGAAAGATAAATCACAAATCTTGTATTCTTTGGCAATACTGCCTGTCAACAGGAAAGCCCGGGAAAACTATAGAAAAACTAATAAGACATTCATTTGTATAGCTATAGGAGAAACATTCTTCTTTCCTCCAGTATGATAGAATGGTTGGAAAACTTTTGTAAGCGGATTTTGGTGGCCCTATGTACATGTGATTAAGGGATAGTTCCTCAGTGATAGTGATGGGGTGGATTCACCAAGTTCTTTAGAGTTGTTAAGGTAACTTTTAATGAGAATTGGGTTCTTCTATCATATAGACTGAAGGAATAAATGATGAAAACAATTAGTTTTCATTCATTTTTTATAATTAACTGATCACATTCTTTGAGCATTTTAAGTGCGCAAATTTTATCTGTTTTGCAAGGGAAAGGATAACCCATTCCTTACAGACTCCCTAGATGACTGATGAAACTGTGTGGGAGAAGCCCATGAGAGTTGGCTGAAGGGGGTTGCTAGGTACCTGTAGTATGGGGCATCTAATTTTTGTTATATAGATTAATCTATTTAATGTAAGGAAATTCTTTAAAAAAAAATTAAACTGCCTTAAGAGAATACAAGTGACATTTTACATTTTTGCAGATATAGAAAGGTATATATAGAAAGGTATGTTTTCTTATTTATTTATCTATATATTTGAGACGGAATCTAGCTCTGTCACTCAGGCTGGAGTGCAGTGGCACAATCTCAGCTCACTGCAACCTCCACTTCCCGGGTTCAAGTGATTCTCCTGCCTCAGCCTCCCTAGTAGCTGGGATTATAGGTGCCCACCACCATATGCAACTAATTTTTTTTTTTGTATTTTTAGTAGAGATGGGGTTTCACCATGTTGGCCAGGCTGGTCTCAAACTCCTGACCTTGTGATCCACCCACCTCTGCCTCCTAAAGTGCTAAGATTGCCACCAAGCCAGGCCATATCTTCTAATTTGTTACCTCCTGTATAAATACATGAATATATACATTGTAAATGCATTGATATATAAACTTAATATAACATTTGTCATGTAATACAGTGTTTAAGGAGATGAGTACTTCCTTTCTTAGAACAAGCTGTGTATTTTCACAGGATTGGATGTAGCTTATAAAGACAAAATTAAAGTGTTTAAAAAGAACCTAATCTTCGTGTAACACTAATCTCTTTACAGAAGTTTAGGAAACTGAATATTTCTGAATGACTGAGTGGGTTTTGAAGGCACTGTCTTTTGTTCTGAATATTGTGTTTCAAAGAGTAGCACTCTTTTTCTGTAGATTTTTTTTTTCCTTGTTCACTTTTTAAAAAGCCTGTCATGTTTTTATGAAAGAGCTATTTCTGTGCTTAGTTTCCTTGGGCTTACTAGTAAGCCCAAGGAAAACATTTTGAGACACTGTGTGTGTTTTGGGGGTAGTGTCAATTCTTGACTTTTTCATCTGCGGATTTCTTTGCATGGCAAATTTTAGTTTCAAGCTGGCCTTCTCCATGCATGAAGCACAGTTCTGTGCTAACGAAACTTTCTTTCTCTCCTGTTGGTGTATGCTTGTGGAATGCAGACTCATTTAATACTATTTTATGTAAAATTGGTGGAAAATAGTCCAGGAGATAATAATCATCTGGCAAAATCAAATCTAAAATACTTTTTACACTGTTTATTTCATATGCATAACTGAAGAGAAACTATAATATTTTTAGGACATTTCCAACAAAATTTCCAACAGATGGGAAATAGTAAATTAGTATCACTATTCCCTCATCCAGAAATTTGAGACTGGGTGTGGTGGCTCACGTCTGTAATCCAGTTTGGGATTATACTCTGCCCCAGGCTGAGGGAGGCTGAAGCAGGAGAAACACTTGAAACCCGGAGGTGAAGATTGCAGTGAGCCAAGATCCTGCCACTGCACTCCAGCCTGGGTGACAGAGTAAGACTGTGTCTAAGAAAAAAAAGAAATTTGAGAATATTCTTTGACTTGCCTTTTCCTCCCTCTCACCATGTCCAGCCAGTTGCCAAATCCAATGTTGTCTCTTCTACCTTTCTAATCTTTCTCCAGCTGATCTTTTTTCTTCCTATACCAGTTATCACAATCCTAGAACATGCCACCATCTCTAGTCCAAGACACCTTTATAGAGACTCTTCCCTTTTGTCACTGTAAAGCTACATCTAGTGTTTTGAAAATAGACAGCAACCCTAGGAGAGGAAGTACTCATAGCCTTAAAAATTATTTCAACTGGTAAATCTCATATTAAGTTTATGTATCAATGTATTGGTATTTGGACTAGACATTTTTAGTCCAAGACAGAAACCTCTCTCCTTTTTCTGCCTTCCATGGCATCTCATTCCAATCTGTTCTTCACTTCAGCCATATTATTTACTAATTTGCAAATCTGAACATGAACATGGTCATTTTTCTGATTAGTACCCTTTAGTTGTTTCCTATTGCCTTAGGATAAAGTCCACATTCCCAAACAAACATTTTACTAGATCCTTTGTGATCTGGTTCCTGCGTCACCTTTTTAGTTTCATCTTGTGTCAAGTTCCTTGGACTTCCTCTTCACTTGGTCTCCCCTATCCTCCACCCTCCCCATAATTTATTTTCTTACCCCCTACTCTTTATCTTTGGAACACTTCTTAGCCCCATCTCAAGTACAGCTAGTTCGGACCTTAGTTTTTTGATCTAAACGTACATATCACTTTGTTCAGGACGTCTTCTCTGGTTTTACTTTCATCTGAGCTATTTGCACCAATACATACCCCTGTCAGTCATAATGTTTATATTTGTAATTGATTAATTGTTCTCTTGCTGGATTAACATAAACTCTGTGAAAGAAGGAAATTTGATTTTTCCATCCTCAATGCCTGTCAGTACATTTTTAAAAAATGAATGAGTGATTTTGCTTCTTGCTTTAATACCTTTCATGATTTTACTGTTATTTGTATTTCCAGTGTTTTTCAGAGAGTGCTTTTGAGTTTAACTCCTTTTATCTTTGCAGGAAGGAAAACTTTCACTATAGCTTTGAATATTGGCCATTTTCTAATTTTAAAAATAATCAATATTTTTTCTTTTTAAAGTTATCTCCCACAGGAAGAAAATTATAATTTTTTAAAAATTTATAATATAGTAAATTCTGTGATAGCACGGCCATTTATAATGCAAATTGGATATGATGTATTTTGTGTGGTTAGATTTTTTTAGACCCTACTTAATATGCTTGGTTTTACTGTACTTTAAATTGTCAGAACATGGCAGATTATGAAATCCCTGGCCAACTCTTGATCTGTAGGTGAGTTAAATCTTGCAAAAATAACTTTGTTACCCTGTAAAATTGCAAATACAATCATAGCATTTACAGTTCTCTGTAAAATGCATTGAAATATCACTGGAAAATGTATGACTCTTTTAAACCCTTAGCAAAAGAACCAAAATACAAATGTAGGAGTAGAGAACAATGTTGCCCTTAAGATGCAGATGCTGGAAAGTCAGCTAGTCATTCACTAGCTACTTGACTTGCTTCCACAAAGTCAACCTCAGCAAAAAACAAATTAGTTTATGTTATAGGCTTTCAGTGTTTCTTGTGAACAATTTAAATCATAATTGTTATATCTTTGAATACCATTATTTTGCTTTATGAGTCTTTTTCTCAGTATCATCAGTTACTTAATTGGGGTTTTGCCACCAACAGTGAAAGCAACTTCAGATGGATTTCTTAGGCATATTCTTTTTTTGTTGTTCTTTGTTTGTTTTGGAGACAGGGTCTCACTCTGTCACCCAGGCTGGAAGGCTGCAATGCAGTGGCAGAATCACGGGCTCAAGTGATCCTCCCACTTCAGCCTCCCCAGTTGCTAGGACCTGCACACCACCATGCCTGGGTAATTTTTTTGTGTTTTTTGTAGAAATGGGGTTTCATTATGTTGCCCAGGCTGACTGCAAACTCCTGGACTCCTGTGATCCAGGTACCTTTGCTCCCACCAAAGTGCTGGGATTAAAGGCATGAGCCACCGTGCCTGGTTTAGGTTTATTCATCGGTGGGGAATCTGTAGCTCTGCTGGGAACCATGACTTAATAAAAATTTTTAAAGAGCTTGTTTTTGCTACTTTAGCCTGTTTATGCCACAGTTAATGGAACTGATTATTGTACATTGGCTAATTAATAGGAACATAGCTTTTCCTT